GGCCCCCTTGGATCATTTCTGCCCTAAGTTTTACACTGGGCTGTTATCACAGAAACGGGGGGTGCAGAGAAACCCCCCGTGCCTGCCCCATGCTGGATTCCAGGCGGCACTTCCCTGGTAGCCGTGATTTCTGGGACAGTGCTGTTCGCCCTCACGCCCCTTCCAGTAACACGTACTTTCCTTCTGTTTCCAGAGCTGTCGATGATGAAGTCGAAGGCAACTTTGAAGAGGTGCTTGTAACCCCCTGAATCCCACCCTGTCCATCCTGGACACCCCAGGGAACAGAGTAAAAAGTAATCCCAGGGGTTTAGGAGCACCCCCACACACACCTCCGGGGCTTCATGAGCACAGCTAGAGATTAAGGACGCAGACCTGCCCTCGGGCGTCTGAGCGCCTCCGGCTGGCCCCTGCCCACTGGGGAGGAGGGAGCCTGTGTGACATGGGGAAGGGTGGCACGGAGAAGGATGGGCCACCAGTGCTGCACTGATCTGTGCGACGTTCTCTTCACTTCCCTTTCTGGGCCTCGGTTTTCTCTGTAAAATGCGAGTGCTGGGTGACCACATTTTTGAGGTTCCCTAGGGTCCCAAAAGTTGTGATTCAGTGGTAAATCCTGGAGGACTGTGAGGGACACAGCTCAGGACTTTTAGATGGGGCGCGACCATAACAAGTCCAAGGTTGTGTGGGGAAACCTCCACAAAAGGAAGGAACTCGTCCCGCTGTCCCAGGACCTATGGGGGCTCCACAATCGCAGGCTCCTCAGTTACTGAAGTTCTCCGCTTGTCCTGTGCCCTCACCGAGAGGCAGAACCATTTCCAAGGGCCTCATGGGCTGCGCTCACCAGCCACTGTCACAATCTTTCCAGAACATTCCAGCTACTCACGCTTCTGAATCCCCATGAGAGCCGGTCACAAAAAGCCTATGTTGGTTATATGTTTAAAAAGACACCTATGTGAGAATATAGCTTATATTCTTTCTCATGAGTTATAACTGAAAAAAAAAATTCTTTTATTAATTCTTCCCACTGTCCTTTCTCTCCATCCCAGTAACCTCAGGATTCAGGCCCAAGAGGGAGGTAGAGAGGGAGAACTGAAGGAGAGGGGGAGGCTGCCCCCCGAAGGGAGTGCAGGCACCTGACTGTCATTCTTTGAGTCACTGTTTGTCACTTCCGTGTCTCCCCTTCCAGATTGACGTCAGTGAGGACGACATTGACGATGGCTTCAGGAGGCTGTTTGCCCAGTTGGCAGGGGAGGTAGGTGTGCCCCAAATCTCTAGGTTATGCACTCTGCTTGATGCAAAGGAAAGCAGTCTTTGCCCTCAAGGAGATGTCAGTGTAAAGGGGGACAGGAAACAAGCTGACTAGGAGCAAAGGGGGTTTGCAAATGGAACTTGGATTCTGCTCACACCCCGTGCCCGTGTCCTCCCCATATTGCAGGGCCTTCTGTTTTTGTGGTCAGCTCTGCTGCTGTGTTCCTCCTGCCTTAGGATTCTTGGCCTCACCTGGTGGCTGTTTTCATTTGTCTGTTTCACTGCAGCTGAAACATGGGGAACTCAGCCCCTTATCCTTGATTTCCACCAAAACATTTGGGAGATGGGTTTTAAATCTCAAGAATGCAAGCAACTTACAACAGAGTATTAGACTTCCCTTTTCTTAAAACAATCCCTCAGCCACTTAAGGCCCCAGTCGGCTATTAAGTTATCCAGCCCTTTCTTCCCATAACTCCAAAAAAGAAGCCAACCTTGGTCTTACACAATGGGGCTTGTCCCTCCATTACACGATACACAATGTATCGGAGGGAATACAGACTGGTTGTAACCAGCTCTACAGGAAGCCAGATCTGAGTTTTCAAAGGTGAGGACAGCGTGCTGATGGGAGGAACGGTGTGAGAGGACTAAGTCAAGAACACAGACAGCGAGGTGAAAATTTATGCTTTATATTCTCTACAGCAAAGAACTCTACCTAGAGCAAGCGCATTGTATGTTAAAACACTGTATCTAAAATATGGGCTGTGCAGGCCCCCTCAAAATGGGGCCTGGGGACAGCAGCAGCAGCCCGTGGGGCTTGTTAGAAACGCACTTTCATAGACCGCAGCCCAGACCTGCCTAATGCACCTCATGCAGGGGTTGGCCAGAGCCCGCATCCATTACACGTTTGCGGCTCCGTGCATCACATGGCTCCAAGGGGGCCAATAATTATGCTCTCGCTGCATCTCCACAGGATGCAGAGATTTCTGCCTTCGAGCTGCAGACAATCCTGAGGAGAGTTCTCGCCAAGCGTAAGTGCCCCCTCCTTGCAAATCCCTCATCCTGCTCCTTCCCGTGTGGGAATCCTTCCCCTTCCATGTCTCGGCTGCTTGGTTGAACCATCACTCCCCACTCCCACACAAGTGCCACCACCCACTGCTGCCACCAAAGAATGAAGGAAGCTCTGTGTGATGTGACTTTAAAAAGAACAAAGGTTCCCAGGGTCTCGAGAGCAAAGGTCACGTCCAGGTTTCCACTACTTCCTGGCTTTGTGAAGGAAACCAAGGTGTAGAGCCTCTGACTCATTTCCTTCTCTGCAGGCACAAAAATACTTACCTCTTAAGAGTGGTTGAACCTCTTCAATGAGGCAACATGTAGAAATTGCCTAGCGCAAAGCCTGTGCTCCAGAAATGGCGGCTGTTATGATGAGTAATTGGTAAGAAAAGGCTGAGTTAGCCCAGATAGTGGAAACCGGGAAGTACCCCCACGTCCCTGGGTTCCCTGGTTGTATTTAGTAGGAAATCATTGACAGAATGACAACATCTATCAATAATTAGCCAGAATGGAAAAGTAAAGAGATCATCTTATACTCAAACTAAGGGAATGGCATTAAAAAGCCTCATCTCCCAAATGTGTGGTTAAATGAGCCTCATCTGACCAGCTCTTCACTGGGAGAAATGTCACTTCGTTTGAGCCAACGGGCCAGGCAAGTGATATCAAGGCCCCAGAATGGCGGCTCTGGGCCTAGGCTGCGGGGCTTCTACAAGGAATGAACACAACTGGATGGAGACTCGAGAGGCGTGCTTCTCACAAACCTTTAAGGCAGCTTGGAATTATTTCTTAAGCAGAAACTATCAAAGGATTGATGGTTCAGCTCCCACTGCTGATCACCACTAGGGGGAGACACACACACACACTTTTCCCCTTCAAATTACCACAAAAACTGTGCAGCCTTTGATAAGAGCAACCCCACTGAGCAGAGGTTTGTACAATATCAGAAATTGTAAGCCTGGATCAGAAACAAACATGCATGTTGTCATGTCCTCAACGTCAGCCCTGCGGATCATTCTAGAAGTCTTGTGGACTTCAGAGACAGACTCTGGCTAACCTTATGAGATAACAGTAAACCCTCCCCTCGGAGCTGACGACGAGTCCAGGCCCAGCTGCGTCTTCCCTCAGTGACTGAACCACATGCGCCTTGTAGGAGCCTTAGCTAATGAACGGGTCCGTGCCCTCAGGGGACAGTGGCTGTATCAGAGCGCCTGTGACTCACAGAACTCGGACGGGGGTAGAGTGGCCAGGCACTGCCAGCGCTGAGCAGGGCTTTCCCCAAGGCAGGCCCCAGTCCTCGCCCTCCCTCCTCCAGTCGGGGAGGACAGGGAGATGGTGTTTGCCCTTGAGGCCGCCAGGCACAAGTGAGGTCATAGGGCTCTTCAATGTGTGGCCATCGTGAGCCCAAGGAGACTAAAGCCTCATTGTTTCCCTGCAGATGGAGGGTGGGAGTGGGCAGAATCAGGCCACCGTCGGATTCAGCACTTGCGTCCCCTGTGCCTCTGAGCTCGGCACCCTCCCCGCCTGCCTGGTGACTCTGGCCTTGTGTCCAAGGGCCCCACACACAGCCTCATGCCCATACCCGAGGAGGGGTCGGGGCCCCGAATGGCAGCACTGAGACGGGCTAGGGTAGAACCTTTACAAGCACATGACAGAAAGGGTGGGCTTCTCGTGAAATCTGTGGGAACCAGATTCACATTTGTGACAAGGGTCGCCTCACACGACCACCTGCTGATCACCAACTAGACAGGACTCACCTGGTAGAGCAGTGTCTCCAGATAGCTTCCGGGTCCTCAGGGTTCTCACTTCTAGGGACACAGAGGCTCCGTGAATGCCTGCAGACAGACAGTTCAAGTAAGCGTCTTCCTCTCCCAGGTCCTAGCCCGCGTGAACTCTTGTGCCCACCGCTTTTCTTTTCCCTGCCTGATGACCACAGGTGATTTTGCACTGTGGGAGCTCTTAGAGACCCAGTCATTTATCATTCTTTTATTTTCAGAGCACTTATTAGAGCCCTGTTTGCCCATGGTGAACACACAGAGAAATCAGGCCAATGTGACACCTCCTCTGTGCTGTCCCAATATAGTGGCCAGTAGCCAGACATGGCTATTTAAAACAGTTAAGTGGCTATTGTAACAAAGAGTGCAGATAGAGAACTTTTCTATCATTTTAGGAAGTTCTTTTGGATTGTGCTGCTCTATAGGATTCTCCTATCACACTACTTTGGTCTTCCAGGCCAAGATATCAAGTCAGATGGCTTCAGCATCGAGACCTGCAAAATCATGGTGGACATGCTGGATGTATCCTTTAATGTGCTCCAGAGAACAGGGACTGGGAGTTGGCAGTTTCACCCTGCAGAGATTCTAACACGGCGGTTCTCAACCTTCCTAATGCCGCGACCCTTTAATACAGTTCCTCATGTTGTGGTGACCCCCAACCATAAAATTATTTTCTAACACATTGCCCGCCCCCCCAGAAAGGCCAGAGGGACCCCACCTGCGGAGTGGTTGTAAGACTGTTGCACTCCTGACCTTCGTTACTAGGAAACACAAGACGCTTCAGATGAGGGGAACCCACATGCCACATGCCCTGGTTACCTCCCCAGGCTCAAAGTGCAGGTTGGCCAGCGTTTCTGGGGTGGGTGCGGGAAATTCCAACAGAACACCCACCATTCTCTGCCTGGAGCAGCTGGCATTTGTGTCCTGAGCGACAGTGTTTCTACTTCCTTTAGGAAAATACAGTTGACCTTGAACGACGCTGGGGTTAGGGGCGCTGACCCCCCCCCCATGCCGTCAAAAATCCTAGTACAACTTTTGACTCCCCAGAATTTAACTACTAATAGCTCACTGCTGACCGGAAGCCTTACTGATAACATAAAAGAGTCGGTTAACATGTTTCGTGTGTTATATATATTATATACTGTAGTCTTACCATAAAGTAAGCTAGAGAAGATAAAATGTTATTAAGAAAGTTATAAGAGAAAATACATTTACAGTATAGTACGTAATTATTGAAAAAAATCTGCGTATAAGTGGAGCCATGCATTTCAAACCCGTGTTATTCAAGGGTCCGCTGTATTCCCTAAACTGTGATATTTCCGATGTGAATCTGTTTTCTCTGGCCCCCGTTTTCTTCTCGGTTTCCCTCCACGGGCATTCTCCTTCCCCTTTGCTCTAACTCCTTCCCAGTTCCCCCCGCCCCAGGCAGACTCTTCACCTGTTTCCCCCTTGTCCCTGATGCTTACTGAGAAGTGCTGGGCAGGGATGGTCTAAGCTTCTAGGGAGTTCTATCTAGCGGGCTCCCGGCACTACTGTGTAGCTCCTCTCACAAAAGGCCTTAGAAATACACCAAACAGTACTCCCCAAATCAGCAAGGGCCCAGCCACTAGAAGCCACCTGAAGCCCTCTGTATATCATCCCACAGCTCTTTTTTTAGCAAGATCTGGGGCCCCCCATGGCACCCCCAGACCAATCAGCAAGCAGGGTCATGGGGAGCCAGCAGGTCTCTATGTGGCCCTTCCACCAGCCCCTTAGATGGAGGTTTGGCCAGTGCGAGAGCCGGGCAAGGGCCCTCGTGCATGCTGTGGTTACCAGATACCCAGTGGATAGCACAAACCAGGGGACCCTGCCTGCATGAACCCAGACTCCGGGAGCTTTCCTTAACTAAAGGCAGTCGGATGGGAGCGGTAAGCTGGGCCTAAAGGAATTCTACATTCTTTGGACGAAGATTCAAAAATACCAAGTAAGAACCCAGGAGGGCCCAGAGGCGGTGGGGGGGAAGGGGGGTTGTCCTGTGTTGGGCACATGCTGTGCATAGACCTGCAAGCGCAGCAACTCTTCAGGAGGGCGGAGGAGCATGTCCAAGGCGGTGGGGGTTTTACACACGATGGGGCTCAGAATGAGTGGAAACAGGGAAAGTGCCAAGGGGACAAAACAAGGACCCTGCAAGTTAAGTGGCCTGCTCCCCGCCTTCGCCTCATTGACGGGAAATGGGGTCATCTAAAAGCCACCATCCAGAGTGTCCTGAAAAGGCTGTGTAGCCTCTTGTACTTGGGATTTTTAACAGCTCAAGTTTAAAAATACGTAAGACAACAGTATAGCCCGTGGTAGTTGGCTGGTTGATTTGATGGGCACATTTACAAGCCAGCTCACAGAGAGAGGCGAAATACTATTAGCTCTGGAAGGCAGAAAACATGGTGATTCTTCCAAGGCCAGACCAGAGGCACAGAGCTGGGAAATCTTCATCCCACTCAGCACAGCACAGAGGGCCTTGCCACCTGCCTTGCTCTGGGTCACATTCTTGTAACTATCTTGTATGTTTCAGAAAATTTACCGGGAGATCGACGTGGATAGGTCTGGTACCATGAATTCCTATGAGATGCGGAAAGCGTTAGAAGAAGCAGGTAACACTTTATAACTGTGTTTTCTTTTGTTTTATCAGTAATTCTATAAGTTCTGACACTTAGATAATACAGTACAAAGTATGGTGAGCTATGAAATAAAGTAGATGCTGGCTCAATAGGAACACATACTTTTTATCCCCCCTTGAAAGACTAACTGGCAAAATAAAACACAGTCCAGGGTGCTTTGCCTGCTAAGCCTTCTTGAATCTAAGCTTCCTTCTGAGCAGCCGGGCAGGTCAAGCAGACAAAGCCGGTTCTCAACAGACTTCCCTGAGCGCCCCCTTTCGGGTGCAGGGCTGATTAGGCAGAAATGGGGTGTCTCAGGGGAAGTCCTTGGCAGAGTGTGCTATCAATAAAAGGGACGCCAGCTTGCGGGAGACCAGCAGAGGGGGAGACGGGTGTGCTCTGGGGACAAATATGACATGAAGTTGTTCATTGTATTAGCTGGGCTATAACACTGCAGCAAAGACCCTGGTTTAAACAAGATACACCTTTTTCTCACATAACATTCCAAGCTCCAGCAGTTCAGGGCTGAGATGGTGCCTCCTGCTGTCAGGGACCCAGGACCCTTCTAGCCTACTGAGTCACCAGCCCTTACGAGTGTTGCCCTTACCCAGGGGACGTAGATGGCTTGCCACCACAACCCCATTCTGGCAGCGGATTGACTGAAAGACGAGGGAAAGATGGGCTCCTTGCCCTTAAGGGCACATGTCCCTCTGCTCACACATCCCACTGCCTGAACTTAGTCACATGGCCTCAGATGGCTGCAAGGGATGCTGGGAAAATAAAATTCTATTACTATGGGGAAAAAAGGAAGAAGTACAGCTTCTGCCACATACACCCAGGAAGAATCTAGTCTGCGAGATTCAGAGCTCAACAAACAGAAAAGAAAGCGTGGTTCACCAACAACCTGAAACAGCGTGACCATGGAAATAGGAACAGACAGGAAACGTCTTCTGTGTTAGTAAGGAGCCAGGCAGGGTGAAGGGGAGCGGTGTGGACACAACGGCAGGAGGCACTGCCTTTGCAAAATAAATCAAGCCTCCTAGGAAAGCAGCCAAGGGACAAAAGCAATGATGATTGTGGTTTAAATGGCTACAGCAGTTCCATAGCCCATGACCAGAGCTCCGGGGTACTACCGCGTTTCCCTGAAAATAAGACCCAACCAGAAAACATGCCCTAGCATGATTTTCAGGGTGCTCGTAATATAAGCCCTACCCCAAAATAAACCCAGTTAAGATCGTCAGCCAGACATGACTGTAATTTGAATAAATGTAGTTTTTGTACCTGAATAAATGAATAAAATGTGTCTTTTGGAGCAAAAATTAATATAACACCCGGTCTTATTTCGGGGCAACATGGTATCTCATCCTTAGCAACTGGTTTGTTTGTTCATTTGACTTCAGGTTTCAAGCTCCCCTGTGAACTGCACCAAGTCATCGTTGCTCGCTTTGCGGATGAACAGCTCATCATTGATTTTGATAATTTTGTGCGGTGCTTGGTTCGACTGGAAACACTCTTCAGTAAGTAGATATTTGGGTTAAGACCCATTTCAGTTCTCTCGATATTAAAGCAGCCTGCCTTTCACACGGGTGAAATCAGCCAGAACCAGAGATCTGTCTGTCCCATTGAGAATGGAAATCCTTCTTTAATTTGGGGAAGGAGGAAAGAAATAATAGCTTGTGACACTCAATGAAATCGGCTGCCAGATAGGGGAACAAGACAACGTGATGTCTGCTGCAGCTCACGCACGTGGAACATCCTCCTTTTCTTCCTCCACAGGGATATTTAAGCAGCTGGATCCCGAGAATACTGGAATGATACAGCTCGACCTTATCTCTGTAAGTCAGCAGCTTACATCAACCCCCTGGCTCCCGCAGGGATGGTCGGGGATGGAAAGGGCTGTTACTGGGGTGACAGAGACCTATGGTTTATTGGCCTGCTTTTTAAAGCTTTGCTTTAAAGCTCTTTTGGTCTGTAAATGGTTCTACAATCCCACCATGTATTTTTATTTGCATCTGTTTCCCATCTACCTATCGAGTCCAGCAAGACACACCAGGTCCCTCCTGCCATGAGCTGTGAGTGTAGCCCAAGGTTAAAATAAGAAGAGGGTGACTGCAGAATCCCTCTTAGAAAAATGCACTGCTAATTAGCAAGCATGGGAGAAGACACTTATAGAAGGAAACCCTTCGGATGAAATTCAAGTGGGTTTTGGGGAAGATCTGGCATTCTGAGAACAAATCTACTTAAAATACTTTCTGAGCAAATTACTCTCCTCTACTTCCAACCCCTTTAAAATAAAACGCACAATAGTAAACACGCTTGCCTTGTATAATTATTGTGCTCATAGGTCTGGAACCCCAGCCATGCCCACTTAGGTTGCAATACCAATTCCACACACACAAAAAGCACAAAATGTTCTCTTGTCATCCCAATGATAGAAAGTTCTCTCGCATCCAAGAAAGAAGCCAGCTGGGGTAGACTTTCACTCTCATCTGGCTCCAGGCTACATTTCCTCTATACTTGGGGGAACTGAGCTTGGAACAACACAGGCTGCAAAGGGCTGGGTCAGGTGGCCAGTGATGGGTGGGAATGAAAATGTCCTCATGTACCAGAGGGCAGCAAAGTGGTCAGAAGGCAGCCCTTTTCCTTCAAGTTTGAACTCTGGAGGAAGCCAGCAACTAAATAACTGTTTCACTCTATTATGCATTTTAAGTACCTTCAGCCAACTGAAAATATATTTTTAGCTGGTTACAAATAACAGCTAATACCATGTAACCTAGGAAATAGCCCTGCCCTGAGATTGCAGTCAAAAGTAGAGGCAATATAACTGTGACATGAACATGCAAAATGGAACGTTTTGGAAACTCTAGCCCGTTTCTCATTCTTGCTGGGAATCCTGTTCCCCCCCAGCTCCCACTGGCCCATGCTGACCAGCCTACGTAGCCCATCCCCCCCATTTCCTCTGAGAAACATCCACTGGCTTTCCCTCCTGTTCTCATCCTCAGCTTGCACAGGTCCCTAGAGAGCCCCACCCGCTAGTTTTCTTTGCTAAGGATGAGCACCATGAAGAACAGCTCCCTTTCAGCCTCAGCTGCAGGTGTGCAGGTGATACCACCAGCCCAGCTTTGCCAAAGTCCTGATGTCCAGGCCTATTTAATCCGAATCTGATTTAAAGTTCCCAGACAATTCCAGTATAGACCTGCGGATGAAAACCACTAGTTTAAGGGGTATGTACACCCCCAAACTAACTTCTGATATAACACCCTGAGGCAGAGATGTGCAAATGCTAATCCACCTGTTGTGTGAGTTTCATGTTTCACATATCTCAGTCAACCCTGTAATACGATTCACAACCACCTGACTCAAAAAACCCAGCTTTTTACTAATGTGTAAAAATCGAGACTAGAAATCAGGTAGAAAAAAGTGTGAGTTAGTGCACTGCTATCTTTTCTGGTACAACAGTCATTCAGAATAATCCACAGCTACTCAAATAGCCTTTCATTTTAAAAATGGTCATTGAACTTACTTGTTTTGTTTTGTTTTCTCCCTCACAGTGGCTCTGTTTTTCAGTACTTTGAAGTTATAACTCATCTGCCTGAAGATTTCTTATGAAAGAACATCAGCCACGGAACACGCATCCACAGAGAAACTTGATTATGGGAACATTTACTTAGACTAATGATTATAGCAGAAAGCAATGATGCCCTTTGAGCTAGCAGAACTTTCGGATATTAGAGTAAAAGATTTGCCTATCATCACACTCAAGTGAGTCACTTAACCCTCAACAAGCTCAAAGAAAGCTTTCTATCTGTAAATAGTATATACACTTTTTACTTTTACACACGGTCCTGTTTAGACCGATATTAAATCAGGAAAAAAAATGTAGGGAGTTATTTAACAGCTGAGCAAACATTCAATCTCCAAGGACATGAGGTCCTTGCTGGGAATACTGAAAGCAGCTTCAAGTTTAAAAAAGCAGCTGTGGCATTTACAAAACAGAGCTTAGGCAGGGCTCACAGACTCCCCTGAGTAAAACAGAAAAACGCTGCATCACGAAGTCAACTTGTCAGGGCAGCTGAAGAGGCCAGGTGAGAACGCTTACCTCTGTCCCTCGGGTTACACAAGAGACAGGCTTTATATAATACTAATTGGTTAACAGTAAATCTTCTGAAGTTCAAGTCCTTGAGTGCGTAGGGTCTCATACACTGAGTGTTATCAATACAGGAGTTCTACTCTTGGTCAGCTGCAGCAATACACCGAAACCAGGCGTCCAGTTGGCAAACCAGTTGTGATGAAGACAAAACAAGCTATTTGCTGCCTGCCTCAGAGATTCTTGACTTGGCCAGCTTTGTGTTTGTGCATGGAGTTGTGGGGGGCCATGGCGTAGCAGGGACTGTAGAAACACCATGAGCTCGTTTCCTGGCTTTACCATGGGAAAATGCTAACATCATTATAAAAGTATTGCCTTGTTGCCTTATCTTCTGCTCAATGTACTGTTAAATAAAGAGTTGCCCATGCAATCACACATGCTGAGCTGTCCTTCCTCCAAGGGCCCTTGCTGGCCTGAGTGCCCCCACTGCAGCCTGTTGCCACTGTGACAAGGTGACACCTATAAATTCCCGTATTGGGAGGAAAAGGCGTCTGACCTATCATTTCCATGTAGAGCTATAGCATTTTTAAAAAATCCAATCCAGAAGCTCTAATCATTGACCATAAAGTAGGTGTAGCTCTAATTGCTGCTGCCTCTTGGTCTTAAGGCGGCACAGGCAAGTTCCCTACTTTGTTTGCTATTTGAACTTCACTTTGATCAGTTCCTGCTGCTGTGGGAACAAGAAAGAGATCTGAGAAGACACATGGATACATCACCGGTCTGGTGGTGGTGATCCTGGGGGAATCATAAAAAATTTCTCCAGGGCCAGCCGAGTGGCGCGTCAGTTAAGAACTGGCTTGGGACGCCAGAGGGCCCCGGTTCGGATCCCACATATGAGGGCCAGTGACACTGCCCTCTACAGCTAAGATGCTGAACAACAGCTCAACCTGGAGCTGGGCTGCCGTGAGTCGCCGGCGACGGCGTAGGCTGCAGCCCCTGTGGCAGTGGATTGCCATGGGCTACCGTGTGTAGCCAGCAGCCAGCGTGAGCGGCCAGCAGCTGCCGTGAGCGGCCGTCCAGAAGCCAGCGACTGATCTGCCTCGCCCAGGAAGAGCGCAATGATGGTGCCAACTTGGGCCAGTGAAGCAACGTCCTCCACAACTAGCCTAAAGAACAAAAGGACAGCAACTTGTCTGTTCCCCTTCCCCCAATTCCCTAGCGCTGTTCCTATCCCCCAATCAAAAAATAAATAAAAATGGGAGAGGTGTAACAAGACTTAAAATTGGTAAATGCCAGCCTATTACTTCATAAAAAGATAGGAAGATAGGTTACCCAAATTCAACTCAAATGAGTTTCGGTTCTCAAGAGGTGTTTGAGTGCAGAGACATGGAAATGAGTGAATGAGGCCATGACCATGACTATGCGGGGAACGCCCCCCCCCCCTCCAGGGTGCTGATTTCCTCCGTTCAGCAGCACAGGGTTAGGAGAGTTAGACCTTTGCAGTCACTCAGGCTGAGGGTGGGCAAGTGTGGCCAGGGGACCCTGGAGTTGAGGATGCTGACCCACGTGGTTGAACTATGGGAGTGGCTGAAACTGGGGGGAGAAAGGTGGGCTCCTCCCGATACCAGAAGCCGCCCAACCTTTTACTTCTGTGCTGCGTGCTCTGCCCCTCCAGTCGCACGTTTGTCCGACCTCAGTTACCACTTCACTTTTAAATGTCTATTTCAGTCACAGTATAAGAAAAAAATGTGGGGTTTTTTTGTGTTTTTTTTTAAAGCAAGGTATATGCTTATCAAAGCCAATTTAGAAAAGCCTGGGAAAGGGGAATTACCAAATATTCTTGAGTTTTCCCACATAACATTTGTCAACGCCTTTTTAACGGGGAAAATACAGGTGATGAAGTAAGTCCCCTCCACCTTCTGCCCCGGAGGAAGTCACCCTAAACTAAACCTAAGCCCTCGCTGCTTCCTTCCCTCCAGTCCACGATGAAAGCCCTCCCTGAATGTCTGCTCTGAACTGCAGTCTCAGCCTGGCAATGAGCCCCCCTCTCCAACCTTCCTTTCCACAGCATTTAGGCACCGTCAGTGCTCACCACAGGCTAAGGTGCCCTTAACACACACACCCTCCTTAGCAGGGTTCACTCTCCGGCTGCTTTACTCTCCTACTTCCCCTTGTTTTTCAAAAAGAAACATTCTACTCCCGTAAAGATGTGACTACAGCATCAATGGCAACACACGACAGATGGAAAACAGCCGTATGTTCAACATCGGATAACCTGGATAAATTAAGGGGTGGAATATTGTGCAGCCATTAAAAATCATGTTCATGATGCCATGTCAAGCATAAAACAGGAAAAACAATGGCTTAAACAGTACGCTCTCAACTATTATACACGGGGGGAAAAAATCATAGACAATATGACAGAAACATGCCCAAATATTAACAGTGGTCTCCCCCCACCCTCCAAGCTTCATAACCCTTTTCTGAACTTTTATTAGGAGATTTGATATATAAGGATATGAGTACTCGGATAATAAAATTAACAAGATACCAAAAAGGGCGAATACAAACAAATGATGTTCAAAGTTTAGGACTAAAAGAAATAAAACTGCAACGATCGTGTTTTCCTAATTTTCACGTCTTCTCTTTTCCGACATTTGTGCAATTCTTTATAGTTTGGGTACAGTACTTACCATGGTTTCCATCAACTACCTGACGTACACAGAGGCGATGGTATTGAGCTCCATTTCGAATTAGGACAAGGCTTCGTGGGGTCCAGTGTCCTGGGCAAGGTCACGTGATGGGTTAGTAGTGTACTAGAAGAGAATGCATGTGGTTTTCGTCTCCTATTGCTGCGGTAACATATGAGCACAAACTTGGCGGCTTAAAAACCACCCATGTCTCCCAGTTCTGTAGAAGTCCAACACCTGTCTCATCGCACTAACTTACTTCTCACTGGACACTCGAGGAGGCTGTTTCCTGGTCCATGCAGGTTGGCCGCATTCAGTTCCACGTGGCGATAGGGCTGAAGTCCTGTTTTCTTGCTGGCTGAGTCCTATGCTTCAGGTCCCCCTGACTTCCCCTCTGCCTCACCGCTCCTGCTCAGAAGGGCTCGAGTGATTACTAAGCCAGACTGGGTAACCCAGGATCATATCCTTTTAAGGTCAGTTGATTAGTAAATTTACTTAAATCTGAAAAGTACCTCATAGCAGTACCTAGATTATTACTGTTTGATTGAATAACCAGGTGTCTTAGTCAGCTCAGGCTGCTGTAACAAAAATTCCACAGACCAGGTGGCTTAAGCAACTGACATTTCTCGATGTTCTAGAGGCTGGGAAGTCCAAGATCAAGGTGCCAGTAGATGGGATGTCCGGTGAGAGATCTTCCTCACTTGCAGATGCAGCTTTCTTGTCGTACCCTCACATGGAGAGAGGGGAGTTCGAGTCCTCCTCCTATAAGGACCCTGGTCCAATTATGGGGCCCCACCCTCACCATCTCATGGAAACCTCATCAATTCCCAAAGGCCATACCTCCAAACACCACACTCTGAGGGTTGGGGGCTTCAATGTATGAATTCTACGGGGACACATTCAGTCCATAGCACCAGGGGACAAGAATATGGAGGCAGGGGGGGGTCTTTAGAGTTCTGCCTACCATCCATGTTTTCTGACATTTATTAGTTCATGCTGTCACTGTTTCTCCATTACTCTGAAAGGCATAGTATGGTCTGTCTTTCAGCTTCCTTTCTTGCTAGCATTTAGCTCTAAAAGTGTATAAGGGAAAATGGTCATTGTTTTTTTCATTTGTGTCTTCTACTAAGTAAAATATGCCACTAAGCAAAATGGGTTCCAAAACAAACAATTCACAAACTTGGTAACATATCAATAAAACCATGTGGAGATCTTGCCTACATAAGTTTCCATCCCATAAATCAATATATATGACTCTATAAAGAAATGTGAAATAAAATGAGGACACTGAAACAGTCTATTCTACTGGTCTCTAAGATCTTTTTTTTTTTTAATTCGGGAATTGGGGGAGGGGAACAGACAAGTTTGCTGTCCTTTTGTCCTTCAGTCTAGTTGTGGAGGACATCGCTTCACTGGCCCATGTTGGTATTATGATCCTTGTGCTCTTCCCGGGTGAGGCAGATCGGTCGCCGGCCACTGCTCACGGACGGCTGTTCACAGCGGCTCTTGGCAGCTCACACCGGCTGCCGGTCACTCACGCTGGCTGCCAGCCACTCACGGTAGCTTACAGCAGCCCACTGCAGCCCCACTGCAGCCTACGCCATCGCCAGCGACTCACGGTAGCCCAGCTCCAGGTCAAGCTGTTGTTCACCATCTGTAGAGGGTGCAGCGTCACTGGCCCATGTGGGATCTGAACCAGTGGCCCTGCTGCTCAGAGCTCATGCTCCCAAGCGAACTCTTAACCAACAAGCCACTCGGCCGGCCCTCTAAGATCTTTTTTTTTTTTTTTTAAACTTAATTGTATATCAAAGACCACCACAAAACTCATAAATTGCAAAACTGAGAGTTGTCTGTAAGCAAAGAAATACTTCTTACATTTAATCACATTGCTGGTAAAGAAATCGTATTATTTTTCAGCTGGGTAAGATATCTCAATGGCTTGGGAACCTTAAACCAGGCCCCTTATGACATCAAAACTAAAACAAGTAAAGAGCATAGAGTCAAAAAGTTTAATTTTATTACAATTGTTTTTAAAGTCAGCTATAATCTTGACAAACATTATGGTTAAGTCTATAGCAAGTCTCTAATTTCCGAGATACAAAAGGCAATAAATATAGGTTCAAATTCAGCCTAAAAACAAGATTCTAAACCTAATTACCTGTAGTGTAGCTTGGTTTCAATATTTCCAATATATGTATAATTCTTAAAATACTACAAGAACTCATATAATAAAGTTATTGCTCACTGACTAGCAACCAACAGTTCTTCACTGACAATATACAGGTGTGTGGAAACTTCCAGCCGCCACGCGAGTCCCCTGAGGGTCTGCTGATGCTGGGGGACAATCGGGGATGGTGCCAGGATGGCACTGGTCCTTTCTGTTGGGAGGAGGTACAGGCAGGCGCCGGAAAACTCCAACAGAGCTGGACATGAAGCCGTTTCCCAGTAGCTCAGTAAATGGTCCTATTTCTTGCGGGAAACAGGATTGTCACTGGTTATCTGGAACACCTTTCCCCCACGGCAGTGAAATCAGCTCACTTATAAGCTCCATTTCGTGGTGCTGAATGTTCTCCATGAGCAGTGAATTTTCGATCCTTCATCTTCTTCCAAAGCACATTCTTCATGGCTTTCAAGTTACATCGTCATTAAAACAAGTCTTGTGAAATTTTGTGCCAAAAACAATCATATGACTTCTTAGTTATAACAGGGATTAATTCTTCATTAACTACAATTCTATAAAGTTTCAGGCCAAGCTCCTTTGTCTTGGTTTAATTCTTGGGTATAGCTGTAAGAGAGTTTATATAATATTCACATACTGTACAGACATGAGAGAGTCTAACAAAATCTCAAGAAATATTGGGGGGAGGGGGTGGATGGCCCAGCATCGAGGTTAAGCTACAGGAAGGACTCCTTCTGCCATGTGTAAGCACCTCAAGCTGCCCGAGGATAAAGATACACATTTAGCAGCTCTACTAATCTGCTACTCTGCAAGGACATTCAAAAGTCACAGGGCCCCTTAATGCTGACAATACCATGGTGCAGTGACATAAAAATCCACAGTGGCTGAGCCTGGATTCCATCTGCACAGCCTGCTGAACTGGAAATCAAGTCTAATAAGGAATACAAACTGCTGACGGTGATGCGCAATACATGCCATAAGCCCCAGCACTGGCGCTGCCATTCCAAGGGAAAAGATGAGATTCAAGTTTCTTTTAACTTGGTTCTCGATGGACATAACACGGTGTCATGGGACTCGAGGCTGTCAGGAACGAAATGCCACAGACTACAAGGCTACAGATTTAAGGAAGGATAAGTGGGGTGTTTTGTTTTAGGACTTTGTGGGTCTGTGTTTTCCATAACAAGAGCTGGAGAGGAGCGTGTAGGTGAAGGTCACAAGATCCCTGATCTTGAAGCCAAGAGCAAGTCAAACTAGTCATTCAACTGGCAAACTGAACAAAAGCCTCCCCCTTCCCCTCCTCTCGCAGACAAAGGGGAGAAAAGGCTTACTGAAAGAAAGCAGAGACCGACTTCCAGCCAAAATGGGAAAAGTGACTGGCAGACCAGTGTTATATAAAGGGTTATTTTTCTCTGAGAAAAGATATTTAGCCACTACAGTTTTCTAGACTCATATCTAAGCCTCTGACTAAAAATTTTACATGTATGCAATTTCCTTTTTTTCTCAACTTCAGAGAAACCAAAAAAAAGTTGTGTGGCAGCCACTTCTATCCAGAAAAGATTTCGAAAGGACTAAGAATATTTAAATGTTAGATTGAGATAGAAATCTTCAGTCCAGTCTGTTGATTTCAGAACCTTCTGAGAGACACACACGAAGCAGAACTGAGCCCGGCTAGCTGTGGGAAGGGGCCATTCTCCCCTGTGTCATTAGCCACAGGATCTCTTTGTTAAAAAATTAAAATAAGACTCAAAGCAGCAGCTAGTTCTCAGAGGTAGAGCTTTGCTCAGATAAGAAACTGTGCAAGTGCTTATCTGCTGTTGATGTTTGTCAGAAACAGAAAGTGGCTCCACACAAGACATTCCGTTTTTCTGGGGTTAGAAATGTTGCAGAAGCAAACGTGCTCCGCAGAGAACCTCCGTTATGTTTCCACTTTCATCCGGTAACTGAAAGCTTTCTTAAAGGGCTCCAGGCCTAACTCTTTCACTTTCATTATTCTCTATAATTTACATTATGATCACACAAAGGAATATTGCCTAAACCCCAACTGTTTGTTTAATAATAAATCCTGCTGTCTGGAAGGCAGCAGTCAGGATGGATGAGGTCATTCATGCTGCACATCAGACAAAGGACAATGGAGAAGGGAGCGTTGGAGGAGAAGACGCTGGTCACAGTCCAGAGAGCCACGTCCCGACACTGGAGTCACTTTAACCAAGTCCACAGAAAGTGACGCCCAGGCAGCGGGACACTCACACACGGAACCCCAGTTCACGGCCTCGATGCCAGAGCAGAAGCTCTGTGTGGGCGCAGACCATGTCTGTCCAACGGTTGATGAAAATACTAATAAAAATATCTCCCATCGGCTACATATTAGACACCTGCTTCATCCTCACAACAATCTTAGGAGGCGGTCTTCTCCAGCCCTCCCCCATCCTCCTTCTGCTGCCTGGTACCCACATCCTAAGTGTTGCTGGGGATCTGAGGATGTGGGGGGTCAGTGCTCCTGAGCTGTACCCCATGGGCTGAAGGGGCGCTCCCCTCCCTCAGGCGCCCCTCACTTCCTCACCAACAGTGGGTTTTGTGAGCACCTGTATCTTTAAACTTTTATCTCAGCCTCTCAGTTATACTATCATTCCTCTCCTTCCCTTTCACTCGTCCAACATGCCCCCTCTGCCCGCACACCCATGAGGGACCACTGGAACCTGTGGGGGAGCCTAATGCACTTCCTGTCTCCTCTGTGTTGCATCTGTCCAACCTCACTAGCCTTTTCCCTGAAAACACTCCTGAGAATCTTTATCTGATCACAGCCCTCCCTTCATACTAACATCGAAGTGTTACTGGTTTATATGTGCTTTTATCTTATTTTCTTGGTTTTCATGAAACTTAAATAGTAAAAAAACAACAAATTTTGTGTTTAGTGCCCTGTTCAAGGTCACTATGAAATTTGCAAATCCTGATTTAAACAAATTTAAAATTTATGCAAAGGTCCTAAGTTCAATTCCCATCACACCACCCAGTTACCTTTACTCTAACTGTAAATGTAGACAGGACCCCTGACCTCTGGAGGCTGTGTTATTGATCATAATAGGAATCACTGAAAATGTGGCCGTAAGTCTAAATCTAAGACTATCAAAATTTTCTAATCCACGTCTCATTAACAAAGGGCAGTGAGTTGCACTGTACCCATAACACACAGTTTCTGCAAAGCTCCTAACATACGAAAACATCGTAAGGGTTGGAATAACTTACTCCCAGCAGATTGCGTGGAACGTATCCCTCCTTCTCATTCAGGCGCGCCCACCACCATTCAATTTCATCTTCATCTTCCCTGCGGATGATTGTCATGCAGTCGCCCTCTTTCATGGGCAGCTCATCGTCATTCTGAGGTTCATAATCCCAAAGAGCATAAATGACTCCTTTATTCATTATGCCCATTTTCTCCTGAACTCCTAAAATCAGGATGGGAAGAAACGGCACAGAATATATAACTCAGAGAACGCCACTCTTTAAAAAACTTTTAGCTAACAAGGGATGTGAAATAATGGGGACTATAGTCAATAATGTTGTAAATATTATTGTAATATTATATGACATTATATGATAATATTGTAAAAACTATGTAGGGTGTCGGATGGATACTAGACTTACCGGGGAGATCACCTCATGAATTATATAAATGCCTAACCACTGCACTGTACACCTGAAACTAATATAAAAATAATATCGAATGTCAACTATAATTTTTTTAAATGTATGTATAGTCATGGGATGTAAAGTACAGCCTATGGAATACAGTCAATGGTATTGGAATAGCTATATATGGTGTCAGAGAGGTAGTAGACTTGTTGGGGTGATCATTTTGGGAGGAGTGTAGATCACTATGTTGTTTTGTACACCCAAAACTAATAAAAAACAGGGGAAAAATAACTTTTAGCTATACAAAACCAAAGGACGATAAAAGGGTCCATGCTGGAATGTTAGAACTTACAAATGTTCACTAAACAGACTTCTAGGGGCAGGCGGAGACGGCCAGCGGTGTGGAGGGAACATATGAAAGGCCAGCTGACGTGTGCTGTCAGCTCTAAAACAGCTCTACAAACTGACAAACACAGGGGCATAACCGAAAACCAGTCTGACTCAGAATACAAAAACTTCTGCAAGCCCAGGAATAAAAAAAGAAGTGTTCAAGCCTGGGATATTAAAAAAGGGAATGATATGCCTGTCAAATTTCAGCCTACTCCTAAGTGTAATGACCAAGAGCTGTAGGAGCATTACATCATTCTTTCCCCTAAATGTAGGGGAGACAGAGAAAAAAAAGCAGAAATGTTGCATCTATTAAAGTGGTCTCTATCAATTTCCAAATGGGGAAAGATTAAAAAAAATAATATGCAAGAATGAAGAAATATGCTAAGTATTTTAGACATGATATAAAAGTCTGCATATAGCCAACTCTAAAATAATGAGAATTCGAATTCTAGAAGATAGTGAAATCCACAACCTG